TCCTTCCTTCCTTCCTTCCTTCCTTCCTTCCTTCCTTCCTTCCTTCCTTCCTTCCTTCCACGTTGTGGAAATGACATGCTTATTGTGATTATTCTGTCCAAGTTAAATAGATAATTAAAAGTAGTAGTAAATATTATTTTCAAAAGCAGTAGAATTGTGGCTTCCAGTAACATACAAGATTTATGTATCATGATGAAAAGGAATATATATGTATGTATACACACAATCTATAAGCTCACATATCTACTCACAATTATTCATAAAGTTAGCATAGTTGTTGCCTTTATCTGGTCCCAAGATAATCTTCAAAGAACCCACTAGTTTTAGTAGGAATTTAAACTTTGTGACTGCATTAATACATGCAGGAGGTGGAATTCTGAGTTGGGTGTGGCCTATGATGACGGGAGGTCCAGGGCAGGATGAGATTTATTGGTCTTTAGTTTGAGTTCCTCTCTAGTTTCTTGAGATGCCGAGATAAAGAGATTTCAAGTTAGTGATTCTCATATGGGGAGGGTAAGGGAAGTCCCTTGAAAAAGTTTAAACAATCCCCTTCCCTTTCCTTTTTTTCATATTCTTCCTTCCTCTTATTACCCCTTCCTCTCCATTCCCATCTCTCTCTCTCCCTCTCTGTCTCTCCTCTGTCTCTCTCTCTCTTTCCCTCTCCCATTGTTGATAGTGGTGACTAGTGGTGACACTTGATGTGTGCTCCAAACCAAATTAAGTACTCCGTTGACTCAAGTTGAGCTTTTTTCTTTGAAAATGTGTTTGTTTATTCCTATCCTAGACTATTTCCCTCAAATTTATACAAGATCAGGAGTACAAGTTCTAAACTCTATAAGGTTCAATCCAAAGATTTTAGTTCTGTTTGGATCCAATTTTAAAACTCATATTTTTATTTTATAGATATTACCACCTTTGACTCACTCCCGTGTACTATCTTGCTCTGTGTGTTGCAGAATGCAGATTCATATGATTCAGTACCTCAGGACAATGTCCTAGCTTAGAGTGAAAGGTTACATACGCTGGAGACTTGTTGGTCTTGGCATCTTTCCTTTAGTTTCCTTAAGGCATCAAATGGAGTTTAAATGGCAGAGTCTGATCTTGGAGTGCCAGTGTTGAGAGAGTTATATTAATTTTATTGGCTCTAAAAGATTTATATTTGTCTCATACACTTCTTGTTTCACCATCTATTGATTCTCTCTATATCATTAGGCTCAAAAAACATGCAAGCCTGTCTGCATTCTATCAAATAAATATTTCCCAATTTCAAGTTCAATTCACTTCCTAAATGTGATAACCACCATAGAAAAAAGGCTTAATGGAATGGAGCACTTTTACCTGATTTACTTTATACCACAAACTATTTTTAATATAATTGCTTCCTGGTAATATCCTACAGTATGCATCTTTATTAATTTGTTATTTATGAGTTAGTTATAATTAAATAGTCTTCCCTTAAGTGGTAAACTATGTAGCCTATTTTTGGAAGCACTGTGTTGGGGTTCTGAGAAACCACTTCTTGTTACTGAATGGGTTCTGAACACTTTGAAATTGAAAGCAATTGCAAGTAATGAACACATATATTATCTCTATTTATAGAGACCAAGTTGTAGAACTAGGTCTGTGAAAACAAATGGCCTTGCCAGCACTGAATCTAGAATTAGACGGATTTATCCATGTGGGGTAGTGTGGGTCCAGGAGAAGTTTCCTGTGATGTGGAAAGCAGTGGAAGTGTGTATCCTGTGGACAGTCTATAAATGAAACAAGAGGAGCTCCCAAGAGAGTGAAGGTCAGGGCTGAAATGCACATGTCCAATTATTCTGCACACATTTATTAATTGTAGAGACCACTTCACCTCTCCGGAGGCCAAATGAATAAAAGGTTAGAGAGGGGCCAGAAGAACATTTGTGGAAAGGACTTCCCTGCTGATACACTGAACTAGAGAAAAGAAATCCAGATTGTAGTTCTAGCTTCCCAACTAACTAACTAGCTCTAGTATCTTGGATTCTGGTTCTCAGTTGCATCATCTATAGACAAAAAGGCTGTAAAGTTGGTGAATTTTAGGGTCTCTTCATTTTTTTAACATAACAAAATTGAACACTAGTCCAAGGCACTGTGTCAGGGTGTTACATACACTGTGTCTTCAGTTCTCAAAAAGCTCTTCACTCTACAAAGACCTGGAGGGTTAAGTGAGAGCTTAAGCAATACAACTTATAAATGGCAGATTTAGGATTAAAATCCAAGTTCTTCTATAAAACACTCTGTTCATGATACATGAATCATTGTGCCATACGCAATACCTGAACAAAAAAGGCACTTTGCATTTTTTGGATCAGAACTTTATAGATGTTAAATCACTTCTTAAGGGGTTCAATATTAAATATATTCAACTTCCCAGGCCTTATCTCTAAAACCAATAAATATATATGCTGTGTGGGGAAATATGCAAACATTTAATACTTTATGCACTTTTTATTAAATTGATTTATTTTATAAATTCCCCCCCCCCAATTTTTCTTTATCAATATCCATCTTAGACATTCTAAGAGAGATACACTTAATGTGTTATAAACAGAACAGAACAAATCAAAATGTTGGGACTTCATATTCTATATTCTTTATATTATTAGTTTAGACTGTAAACTAAATGGCAGGAAGCTAGTGTTTTAACAGTTCTATGCATATTGCCCAAACATGGATAAACTTTAGTGAATGTGAAATAAAGCATAAGGAAAACCACTATTTTCAGATAGAAACTTTTTTATTAAGAGCCAGGACCTTTTCAGGAATCAGAACACAGTAATTCAGCAGAGCAGGATTATAAGAGAATTCCGAACATAGACTAACGCTAATAGTAAAGAGTCTCAAACAGTATTTTGTCATTCTTTCGACAAATAATTTTTGTGATTCAGCCACTTCTGAGGTTTTCTCTTAGGGGTTCAGGACAAAAGTCAAGTGCCAGTGAATCTTATGCATTCAGGCTTTTTTGGAAGAAGAGATTTGCCGAGGTCTTCTGTTTTTGAGCTCCAGTCAGTCCGGGTTATTTGCACGTCCTCAAGATCAGTCAGTAGGAAAAGGATGAGATAACTCAACTCATTATGTTTAAGGTAATGTTATCTCTCAGCTCATTAGCAAAGTGCTAATTAGGCAGTTGACAAAACTATTGACAGAAATTGAAACCATCTGAAAGCACTTGCATGCTGGAATCAATGGTCAAACCAAAGATGCCCCACTTCATCAGGAAAGGTAAGTGATAATCAAGCTGACAGGCAAGTGACAGTGACAGCCAATGTAAGAAAGCTGGTGATGGTTGTATTTTGTATGGAGTATCTTCAGTGAGTCCATCATAGTCAATCTCAGAAATGATCCTTCTTGATCAGCTTTTAACACAAAGGACATTAATAGAGCAACAGAAAAAATAAAAGCTAGCAGGTAAACACGGCTGTGGTTAATAATCCCTGGAAGTTATATTTTAGGTTAATGTAACAAGATTCTTAAGATGCATAAAATGACTCAGCAAGACATTAGAGATTCTTCTACTTAGTAGAATCTGCCTAATTGGACAATTTCCAGCTGCTATGAATGCAGTAAGCTGATCAATAGCAATGCAGAGGTCTGCTACCACTGAATAAATACCTCAGAGGTGGAAAGGTCCTGGGTATACAACTCAGAGATGGGAAGTTTCTAGAGAAATAGCTCAGTGGTTGGTAGCTCATAAGCCCATAACTTGGATATTGGCAATTTCTTATTAAATACCTTTTGGGTTGGCAGCTGTTGGCAACATAGTAGGATGATGAGTTGCCACTGGGTATGAATCCAAGATTTTGGTAGCTTCTACACCTCAAACTACCCAGTCTACAGTAGTTTAGGGGTTGGAGACTCTTGGAGAAGCAGTTAAGCTGCCCAGAGCAGTTGGAGCCACTGCGAATGGTCTGGCAGGCTTTGGATTCACACTGAGTGGGTGTATAGCAGTTGTATACATACCCCTCGGTCTGAGTGCATGGGTTGCAGCTGGTGCTGGGGCTGATGTTAATCGTTTCACAGGCACTGACGACTTGACCCGCTGATGGGTAGTTGCTGGGCACACAGGAGTTTGGTGGATCACAGCTTGTGGTGCAGGTCTTGGGCTCACAGCTGGAAGATTCACAGCTTGGTACATCATAGTAGGATTCTTGGCAGGGATCCAGGAGCCAGAGATTTCCTTGGTAGGTACTGGGTAAGCAGCATCCAAAGGTAGGGCTTATATTACTGGAGCAAAGAGAAAGAGCCACTGGGATATAACAGTGAGTTCTATAGGATGTGGCATTGCAAGCCCCCGGGTAGCCCAGAAGAGACATGGAGCCTGAGTGCATGCTTGGTGGTAGCCACGCAGGTATTGTGGGGCAGTGTCCTGAGGACATTTTATATCTTCCTTTGAGATTGTCAGGAGACTCTCCAGACTATCCTCCTTCCCCCTTCCTGCAACAACAACACAACATTTCATTAATGTGTTGTTTAGCCACAGTTGCTGATGTCTTCACACTCATTCAAAAACATTTATTTTGATTCTTCAAAGTATCCATAATCCAAAGTATCCACTCTGACCATCACCCATTACTCATCATCTGTAGACCATAGCATCTGTGAATAGTGATTTAATTTTAATAGGCAAACTCTCATCTCTCAATCAGCACTTAAGAAGCGTTTATGTGTCTATGGGCTTCTGCAACATGGTTATTAAAAGGTTAACAAGTAAAGCAAGGGAATCGTATTTTTCTACTCTTTTGTCTACTGCAAACTACGGCAGGACTTGATCCAATACTCTGAAATAAGCCACAGAGTTTGGCGGTCTCAACCTTGTTGCTCAAAAGAGAGGATAAGGCATTGCCCTGTTGAGAGAAATAATCAGTACCCCCAAATATGGGCTACACTTTTACCTGCACCAGGCCATAACCAGTGACAACTGCTCATTTGATATGTTTGGAGAATTCCATCTTAAGATTCACAGCAATCCTAGAGAGACTTGGTAACCTACACCAAGCTAAAAATGAACTTGACCTCATGGGTCAGTGGTTGCTAAGCAACCAAGAATTCTATGAAATCCCTTTCTTAAAGAGTTTCTGCAATATGTAATATCAAAGAAATCTAGTTTCTCAAGATTGTACCTTTCTAAGTGACTAAGATTATTCATCAAGCATTTCATTGTCTCTGCTGTAAAGCCCAGTTGCTGTCAGATGTATAACATTTCTTCCCATTTTTCCCTAAATAAGTTTTACTTATTCTTGATTTGCTTTCTTTTGCACATAGACTTTATTTCATTCCTATGTTGAAGAATGTAGTTATTTTTGGCCTATGCCAGCAAAAGGGAATGACTATGTTTAAAAATTTTATTTGAATAACCTGTATAGTTCTTACAGGCACTGTGCATATTAAATAGCTCTTTTACTCCTATGGTGAAGGCTAGAAGGAATTTTTTAAGATTTTAATTTAAACTGAAGAAATGACTATTTGTTCTTAAAAATACAAACTGTAATTCGTACTTACAGTCTCCATTGAATTGAAAACAGCAATGCATTTATTAACAGTGATGAGTTCAGACAGAGGACAGTACCGATTTCTTCAGGTATGATAAGCAATAGGGATAGTTTTAAAGGACACTATCCATACAGGAGACAATTAGATTTCCCTTGGTATTCTCCACTTCTCAGCTAGATCTTTTAAGTGCACATCAATTTAAATTTACAGATATTCTCCAAATATATACATATATTTTAATCTGAGTTTTCTCAGTGCTTCTCCTTGTACGTATTCTTTAAAGTGACAATAAGCAACTCTTTATTAAAAAAATTTGCTACCTTCTGGAATCTCTCTCACGAGAAAAGGGTAAGAATCAGGAAATCATATTTTCAGCAAATTGTTTGGCTATAGAAGGCCCTGGGATTTGGGGCAGAAAATTTCAGTCCTGAGGCAGGTAAAATAGGAAAGAAGATACATAAAGCAGTTGATAGCCAACATTTCTAAGTTACTGAGTCCTCACAATACCCAGAAAAGTTCAGAGGTCGATGAAGCTTTCTTTTATTCTGCACCTCTTTAACATCTGACTTTTACCTCTTATCTTTTCCTTGTGGCAGGTTTGAGGGAAAACAACGACAGAATCAGTCATCTATAAAGCCCAAATACTCCCCTTCTGTCTTAGCATTAAATAGTAAGGCATTTTAAATTAATATTACTCATACAAGTGTAAGTCCAACGAAATAATGTAAAAACATCATATAGCATAACCAATATTCAAAGCATGAGACTTTATAACATATTTAAATTTGTCTTGCTCTGATAATATTCTAAACACTTAAACATTGAGATTTGCAAAGGCAGAGTTAGCTCAACTGCTCTTATTTGCTTCTGTTTTTTCCTTCTTACCCACTCAAAATATCAGACTCACGTGTAACCATCATCTCTCCCCAATCACTTCACCATTTTCTATAAATGATACCTCTGCAGAATTGTCTTCTACTTTGCTCTCCATCCTCAAAGGAGGCTGAGCAGACAGATTAGTGTCAGAGCAAATATCAGGTCATAACAACGGCAGGCTTTAACAATAAGAACTATTGGGTGGCATTGTCCTCTGAAGGCTTTGGGGAAGCATATGTATTACTCTGTTTTCATTTTATTACTAAAAAGATCTTCTGTTTCATTAATTCCCCTATTTTTAGTATTTGCTATGTGTGGAATGATGAATAATATTCATGACCCACCCAGCCAAGATGTCCACTTCCTGATACTGGAACCTATGAATGCTACCTGATGTGGCAAAAGGGACTTTTCAGGTATGATTAAGTTAAAGATTTTAAAATGGCTTATCTGGGTTGGACTCATATAATAGCAGGGGTTTTTATAAAAGAGGGACAGTAGATCACAAAGAGAGAAGGCAATGTGGCAACAAAAGCAGAATTTGGAGGGATGTGGCCACAAACTAAGGAATGCCAACATCTTTGGAAGCTGGAAAAAGCAGGGAATGACTTTTTCCCTAGAGACTCCAGAAAAATGTCAGCCCTGTTGACACCTTGACTTGAGGTCGGTAACGCTGATTTTGGACTTTTGGCCTTCAGAATTATCTGACAATAAATTTCTGTTGTTTTAAGCCATGGAGTTTGTGGTAACTTGTTACAACAGTCATAGGAAATAAATACATTGTCAGAAAAATATAGGTGAAGGTAGTAAATAGTCTTTATGCAGTTTGAGGAATTTGTACTCTGTACCTAAGACATTTAAGATGCAAGGAAAAAGCGTTCTCAACATCATATAATTCAAAGAAATACCCATGCCATCTAAGGAATAAAAAGAAAAAAAAAACTCTCTTTATCTAATGAGCAAGTAGATTCCTTTCAACTCATTAAAAAAAGAGTTATGGAATGTTTTCCCCAATTTTGTTGAAAGGTTAAAAGTCCTTGTGGGTAAAGATAGAAAATCAAAGAAATCTAAATTTTCTAGTTAAGTGGCCCTTAAATAAAATAATGGAGGACACCTTCTAGCCTTTTAGGTCACAAGAAATTTTGTCTTCTTCTTATGCCATCATATATACAATTGTGTTCTTATTCCACCTGCCAAAGTGCTATGAAATGATGCAGAAGTGATCTTATGAGTTAAAAAGCAAAATGTATGCAAATCCATACTTACATAACAATTGAATTATAAATGAGTCAAAATTATTCCTAAATTTAGCATTGGTAACCTAAAGTGGTAGACATCCTTGCTTTATTCATGTTGTTGGCTTATTAGATCATTAATGGTTTCAAAAGCTGAAGGTAAGATGGGCAAAACCAAAATTTTAGGGACTAGAAATCAATGAAGACAGAGCACTCTTAAACGACACAAGTGGGTAGATAGACAGCAAATTTGAGTTGGATTCATGTTTAAATTTTTAGGGAAACATGGTATAGATATAATGAGACACAGGTGTAATAAAAGTTAAACAGTTTGAGCTGGAACTGTCAAGTCGGTGCCTTAATAGGTTATGAATCACTCTCTCGCTGACTACCATTATTATGGTGTAACCTTGGAATAGTGTTCTCTCTGTACTTCAGCAACTTCTTATGTAAAACCAGAGCTAATAGCATTTATTTTGCAGGACTGTCCTGCAGATGGAATAAGTTCATAAAGGCGAAAACACTTAGAAAAGCACATCTTCAAAATGGAGCTAATAGTATTTTCTCCACAGGCAGCTGTGAGGATTAAATGAGTTTGCTGAGCAAAGAATAAGAAACATGATTCCTGTGTAGTCGATGTTTTGATGTTAACTTTTTATCATCAGCCTATAATCTTGTTAATATTATTGTTATTAAATACTATTATTTTCATTATTATTATTGGGTCTCATCTAAAATCCACTGCAATATGTCTGAGTGCATTAAAAAAAAATTTTTAAAAAGAAAGAAAGGAAGAATAAAAAGATGAAAACACGGAAGGAGAGAAGAAAAGAAGGAAGGAAGGAAGAAAGGAAGGAAATGCACCAATAATCTTGTTAATATTATTGTTATTAAATACTATTATTTTCATTATTATTATTGGGTCTCAACTAAAATCCACTGCAATATGTCTGAGTGCATTAAAAAAAATTTTTTAAAAAGAAAGAAAGGAAGAATAAAAAGATGAAAACACGGAAGGAGAGAAGAAAAGAAGGAAGGAAGGAAGGAAGGAAACGCACCGGAGTAGGTTACATTTCAAGTTAGATAACTTGCTGTGATCTATATGTTATATGTTGATTTTAAAAATTCAGCTTTGGGCCGACCCTGTGGCTCACTCGGGAGAGTGCGGTGCTGGGAGCGCCGAGGCTGCGGGTTCGGATCCTGTATGGGGATGGCCGGTGAGCTCACTGGCTGAGCGCGGTGTGGGCAACACCACGCCAAGGGTTGCGATACCATTACCGGTCACAAAATAAATAAATAAGGGCCGGCCCGGTGGTGCACTGCTACAGTGCGCCGCTTGGGAGCGGTGGCGCTCCTGCCAAGGGTTCGGATCCCACATACAGACCGGTTCCCGCTCACTGGCTGAGCGAGGTGTGGGAGCAACACCGAGGGTTGCGATCCCGTTGCCGGTCCCGGTCCGGTATGGGCGCGACACTGAGGGTTGCGATCCGTTGCCGGACACGAAAAAAGACAAAAAAAGAAAAAAAAATAAAATAAAATAAATAATAATTCAGCTTTGAGGAACTAAATATATTAAAGGTATTTTCTACCATGTACATGGGAAGTAAGACTTCCAGAAGACATCATGTTACATACTATTTAAGTTAGTCCTCCTAGAGAGAAAGGGTGGGCTGTGACTGTGACAGAGAGGAAACAGCTTTATTTGTAGTTTAGACTTGGCAGGTCTA